ACTTCCCTCCGCAAGGCTTCCCCCTATTCCATGGATGACAAAGACCCTCAAAAGTTCTTCATGTCAGGTGAGAGGAGCGGGCAATGGCCAGAGGCATGGGAGCCCCTCAGGACGTCTGGACTCAGTGTCCCGCCCCTACAGGCTTCACGGGCTATGTGCCCCGTGCCCGCTTCCTCTTTGGCTCCAGCTTTCCTGTGATCACCAACCGGGCCCTGCAGGAATTTGGACGGATGCACTCTCAGGGCAGATCCCAGGAGGGGCCCACACATCTCCCCCCACTCCCCAGGAGCTACCCACCTAACCTGGGCCTGATACCTCACTACGGGGGCTACGTGCCAGGTGAGGATGGCCCAGGATGAGGCTTTGGGGACAAAGATTTGTGTGTGTGTGTGTGGGGGGGAATGTAGATATGGGTGGAGGTGGTTTGGAAGTTGGAACTGTAGCTATGGGGAGGACCTCAGACCACATGGTTCAGAAAAGGGAACTGAGGTAGCTCAAGTGGGGAGTAAGACCCGACTTTAGAAGGCAGACTGGAGGGTCCAGGCAACCGGCTGAGGAATAAATGGCTTTGCCATGCCACTGGCTACGCATGACAGATTCTCTTCGCCACACAGGGTATAAGTTTCAGTTTGGCCGCACGTATGGGCACCTCACCCAAGATGCTCTGGGTCTCGGCACCTGCAGAAGCAGCTCCTGGTGTAGGGACACCTGGACTTCGCGTTCTCTCTTCCCGTCTCATCTTACCCAGCCATCCACATGGGCTGGAGGATGAGGGGAGGCACAAAGAGAAAATGGTTGGAGGCCAAGCACCTTTTTTATTAATAGGTGTAATAAATAAATAAATAAATACATAAACAGAAGCCTGGGCGCCTCGTCCCTCTTCTGACCACCAGACACTGGTCGCAGCCTATTTACAGCTGGGGCTTAGGAGCCTGGGCCCCAGCACTGCCACCCATCCTTCTCACCATCTGGCCGAGGGAACCCTGCACATGGGCCTCTGGTCACCTCACTCCACAGGGACACGCTTGTCTGTACCCATGGAAACGCTGGCCCACACAGGTCAGGGGGATCCTGGCAGCCCAGTGCTGTGTCCCCTCCCTCCTTTCCTGGGTGGAGGTCTGGATGAGGTCACTGGGGCAGTTAAGGGGGGGAGTAATTAATACTGAGCACAGGGATATGTGGCCCCCAGATCTCGGTCTGTTTTCTGTAGCCAAGCCGGAGGGCTTGCAAGGGCTCTCGGGCTGAGTCTGGGGGTGGGAGTGGAGGGGGGTAACGAGGGTCCCTGAGGCCACCAGCATGCACAAGGCCTCAATTTTGGCTGCTTCCAGGGGTTGAACTTGGAGTTGGGGTCAAGGTCACATAGGCCAGAGGCACCAGGCCAGTGTCAGTGCCGCGGCTGCAGCGCAGCCAGTCTCCTCCCGCGGGCCCCAGCACCCGTAGGATATCTCCCTTGTGGAAGCTCAGTTGTCCGGGGCCTGTGGCCAGATGGTGGCAGAGTGCCTTCACCTCGCTGTGGGAACAACAAACGGCGGTCAGAGAAAACCCACAATGCTGAACCCAGTCCCAGTCCTACTTCCTGGGGCTCACCACGGAGGTTTGGAGGGCAGGCCTGGCGAGGGGGGCTCCTGCAGGCTCTCCCTGGGCTCTGGCTCCCGGCGGGCACCCACTGTCTGTGCCACTCGTTGGAACATGGACTTGTCCAGGCTCAGCCAGTCCGAGGGTAGCCTGGGGGAGAGTGGGCGGGGCTCTGGCTCTGACCACACCCGGGCTGAGCAGGCTCCCCAAACCCCTCCACCTCCACCATGGGCCCACTCTCACCTGTTGGTGGGTCGGGCTTCCCGTTGCGTCTTCCGGGACCCAAAGAGGTGTCCCCACTTGATGCCGCCAGGTGAGGGCTCTGGGGCTCCTTCTTCATTTTCTGCTGGGGGAGCAGTTGGCCCCTCTCTTTCTCGACTGCGCCTCAGTTCAGCCAGCACAGAGTCAGGGGGGCTCCCCATCCAGAAAGGCCAGCCCCTGTCCCGGCCAAGTGTCTCCTCAGGGGCAGGGCAGGCTTCAGCTCCCTCCACTACGCCCTCTCGGGGAGGTGGTCCCCCACCTCCTGCCCCCTTTTTCTTCTCACTGCTGCTGCCACAGCTGCTATTGCTGCCACCACGAGGGAACCGAGACCCCTCCGTGGAGCCGTCGATATAGACCTGGGAGCTCTGCATGAGCTGGTACCACCAGCCGGCCTGCCCACCTCGGGCCCAGCGGCCACGTCCTGCAGCCCCCGCAGCCTCTGCCACCTCTTCCGTCTCCTCCTCTTCCTCCTCATCTTCTCCACCTTCTGGGGCACCCACACCCTTCACTCGCTCCCCATGGGCTGCCCTGTCCATGTCTCCAGGGCCCTCCTGGCACCGAGCCCGGGTCAACTGGAGCGTCGAGTGGGCAGAGAGCAGCAGGTCCTGGGACACCCGCAGCAGTTCCTTATGCTGCCGCTGCTGCTGCCCGCTCTGCAGCAGCCGGTGCTGGAACAGCAGGTCGAGGCTGAAGGGCAGCAGGGCCAGGGGCTGGAGCAGCAGCAGCAGCTCCTCGAAGAGGCCAGGGCACACGGTGTGTGCCGCACTCAGGAAGCCCCACGGCTGGTAGTGGGTCTGGATAATATCTAGGGAAGAGAGAGAGGGATGAGCTGCATGAGAAGCAGAGCCTGGCCTGGCTGTGGGCCTCTGGAGAATGCACGCAGGGTGCCAGGCTGCGTCCGGCCACGCGGATGTCCCGCAGTGCGAACGGTGCCTCCCGCGGTCGCTCAGGGCACAAACGTCACCACCTGACACTGCAGCCCTGAGTTCAGAGGAGACAGGCGCTGGGGTTGCTGACCACCCTGACTTCTGGATTGCCTAAGCATCTGCTGACTCCAGGACTCTAACTGAAGCAGAAGCTGAACAGGGTTTGGGGAGAAGCTCGAGACTTGGCGGAGAGCTGGTGTGGTTCCCCTCCCCACCTCCGGCATCTGAAGCGACAGCCGTGCCACCCCTGTTGACCTCTGAGGCCCGGCCTCTACTGAATTTGCAGACAGAGCAGGATTCTGGGCATTACCTTCATGGTTATAGAGGTGATTAAACCAGAATTCCAGGGACCGGATGCTGTAGGGAGACAGACAGGTGAAGAGTTGAGTCTTGTGTGGATACAGAGCAGATACAAGGAGACGGCCAGGGGTCAGACACAAGTGGAGGTAGAGGGGAACACTGTTCTAGGGCAGGGATGCTATTTGGTTAGCTGCACGTAATACAGTGCTGGGAAGTGTGGGGAGGGGGCAGGTGAACATGTGACTATAAACCATTCACTGTCTCCTGGAGTGGAGTCAGTTCACACAGGACCCAAGGGACCATGGTGGCTACTGAGAACGAGCTCAGGGCCAAAGGGGATGACCTGGCCCATATTTGAGAAAGAAGAACACTATGCAGTGGTGTGGGCCCTAAGGTGGCTTCAGGTCGAGCTGGATTTGGAGACAGTGCTGGAATGAAGAGGATCAGGGCTTACAACACTCAGAGAAAATGACAGACCAGATTAATTTCCAAGTGAGTGAGATCACGGATTTGCAAAGCAGTGAGGGAGGAAGTGGGGTCGCAGTGGGGGACCAGGGGCCTATCGAGAGGCTGTGGCCGGGTGGGGAGAATGTGAGCCTGGGCAGATCATCCTTTCTGTTTCAGTGTAGGGAACTCAGAGGCGCGGAGTCCAGGGGTCTGGTGTTTACGGGCTTTGTTGCACCACTCACTTGAGCAGGCCGAGGATGAAGGCATTGAAACGCATGGTGTGACTGGTGAGCTCTGGGAACTGGCTGACTTTGTTGTAGAGGCCATGCAGGACCTTGGTGGATGGACCTGCAGGGAGTCAGAGTGGAGGTCACATGCCCGATCTCGGGAACCTCACTCAGTTCTGCCCGAGGCCCCTGTCTTGTCCTCTGGCACTCACCTAACTGTGTGGAAGCCTCAACCACACTCCATGGCATGTTCTTCCTCTGCCCGATGATGACATCGAGTACAAAGGCCTTAAGCCCATCCTCCAGCACAGCCTGGACCGCAGGGCACAGGTACTTCAGAACCAGGTGGCCAACGTTGGGGCTCACAGAACTGTTGCCCAGTTTCGCCTGCAGATGCAGTGAGAAAGTACAGAGAATTATGGGAAGCCTGACTGAGGTCCTCCCTGACTCTCAGTGCTAGGGTGCTTCTCTGGGCCCGCCACCCCTAAATGCAAGAGAGGAGGGGAAGGTGGTTGTGCAGAATAGGCCAGGGTCTGCAGGGGAGAGCTCAACCCTTCACAGTGGCTTGCTTACTTTCACCCCAGGATCCCGGCTTGTGCCAAAATGGGCCACTATGAGGTCCACAGCGGTGTTAACAGCTTTTACCAGGCCTGAAAACAAGAATTTGATGTGAGCAAGTCCTTGAACAACCAGCGGCACTGATTCCTCAGTGTGTGTGTGTGGGGGGGGGTAGGGGCAGGGGTAAGGTGGGGTAGGCTTCTGCGCTCTCTCTGTTCCTACAGCTGGGCCTCGTCAAGGCATCCAGGTCTGGCTCCTTCCAGTTTCTGCTCAATTCTCAAGACTCTCTCTTTTTTTTTTTCACCTCCCAGCTTGAGGACTCCACTCAAGATCCTAACTTTCTTGCTTTCTTGCTCCAATTCTAAGGCCATCTAACTATCGGTCTTCTCCACTCTGAGAAGCCAGGCTCCTGGCTGCCACTCACACCCACGCCTCAGAAGGGCACTTCTATGACGTGTGCCTTGCAGGGCCCACCGCCACTCTCTCAAGTCACGTCAACCTTCACCCTTGTCTCGAGGTCTTGGTTCTTCCCACAGGGAACAGAGGTCCTGGGTCAGGAGTCCTTCAACTTCCCTCTCCCCAAAAGGACAGAGCTGTATTACATCCACCTCTGAGCCCCTCCTGCTCCCTCTAGCCTGCTTTCCATCTCGGAGGAAGGTGGCTGTTCCCTTCTGGCCTGAGGCTGGGGTCCTTTTCCCCCTCTGAGCTTTGAATCCTGCACTCTGCCTGTGCAAAGACCTGTGGTGTCACCTTTCTCCCTTTTCTCAGGCTTCTTCCCTTAATCCCACAATCACGCTCAGGTTTCTTCCCGCCATCTCACTGAAGAAGCTCTCACTGGTCCTTTCCAGGCTAAATAGAGTAGTTCCTCGTCAGTCCTTATCTTCCTAGATGCTGTCACCGTGGTTATCCATGTCGCTAGGCCTGGTCCTCCAGCTCCCCCTCACCCCCACTATAGCTCGTGGCATTTATTTACCTCACGGCAGTCTCCCTCACCACACTTAGCTACCTCAGGGAAGAGCAAGAAGCCTGGTTCTTAAGCCTCTGCTAAGTGGCCCCGGCTCACTGGTCTACACCCGCAGTACACACACAAGGGGCCGCCTCTGTCTTGTGCGCCCTAAGCCCTTCCCAGCACCTGGGGTTTCCAAACGGGGAGATACTCTGCAGGGCTGGTTAGTAGGGCACCAGGCACAAACAGGCGCACATGACAACAGAACTACGGGCCTGAGCAGGGTGTAACATTCACCTTTTTTCTGAAGCAGGTCGATGGATATGGCTTCTGAGCTGCCGTCTGGGGACAGGCAAAACTCAGCTGGAGGCTTCTCAGTCAGAGAAAAGGGGTCCTGAAAGTCGGGACAGGTCAGCGGTAATGGCTTCACTGCTTGACCTGGAAAAAAGCGAAAAACCAATCCCGACAACTGTCTTTCCAAGAGCTGCCGCTCAGGTCCTCAGGCCGGCAGAGACTGGCCGGCGCTGGCCCCGGCCCTCGTCCCTCTCGTCCCTCCCTGCTGTGGCTGGGCCTGCCCTGTGTGCGCTGCGGACCTAGCCACACACCGTTGAGTCGGCAGTTCAGATGGCCAGCAGCACTGAGGGAGCCAGGGAACTCAAAGATGGGGTTCCTTCGGGCCAGCCGAGCTTCCTGCGGCCTTCGGTCTAGGCTCCCCGACAAACCAGGCGGCCCCAGTGGGTTCTTCCTCCTGTATTCCCGCCATTTGAGTGCTTGAGGGGATAGGTGGTTAGCTGGAAACAGAGCAGAGAGCAGGGGACGGGTAAGAGTTAGCAGGAAATCACGTTTCATATCCACCCACTAGGCCCCTACAGAACAGGAGGTGTGGCCATCAGAGGATAGTAAGCCGAGATAACTGGGCAGGGAGAGGCAAGCATTTAGCCTCTGACCCCAGGATGGAGTGTAAGAAATGGTTCTGAGGGAAGGAGAAGTGTTGGGGTGAGGGCTGGGGTGGGTGGGTGAGTAGAAGAGGTGAGCTCATACCATTACTGGGTCTGGAGGCCATGCTGCCCTCACCGCCTCCCCGGACCAGGCTCTCGGCTCGGCTGAGGTTAGATCTCCAGGAGCCCAGAGGGGGCAAGCTGCCTGTGCCATGGAGTCGGTATTCAGCCAAGGTCACTATCTTCTGATCCTCTTTCTGTGGCTGCTGGGAGGTGGCAGTTCGGACAGCAGGACAGGAGTGGTTCCATGGGGGTGAGCTTTTTGTGGCTGTGGCCTGCTCTGGGGGAGGGGAGCAGGAAGTGGAGGCTGAAGAGTCGGTGCTGGGCCCAAAGGGGCCAGCACTCCGGATTGGGGAGTAGCTGCCCAGGGGTGATGGCCGTGAGGTTTCTGGCTCTGGCCCGGCTTTCTTGGCACCTCTGCTGGCGGATACCACTGATTCCCCTGAAGGAGCTGGGGCTGCGACTTGAGTAGCCAAGGAGGCAGGCTGCTGTGCACGGCCGCAGCCCGAGAGGGTGTAGAGCTGGGAAAGGCTGTGGAGGGCGCGAGCCTTGCTCAGCTGCTTGGGGAAGTGGTGCTGGAACACGAAGGGCTGGATGGGCAGCGTGGTTGGTCTCTGCTCCTTGCTGTAGCGAAGGACTGGCCGGCTCTCGGCACCACCCCCTGTGGCAACAGGGATGGAGAGGGATCAGACAGACAGACAGACAGACACTGAGAGGAAGAAGGGCAGCAGGGAGGAGATGATGCTCCCGGGGGAAGAGGGAGAGATGGGCAGGGCCTGGGCTGCAGGAACTGAACAGGGCAGGACTGAGCCAAGTCTGGAAGTGGCACCGCTCCCTTCTTCCTTTTCCTGCTATTCTCATGATGCCGTACAGTCTTGTACCCCTTGGTCGGTCAGTCCTTCATCTTCCTGACTTTAAGGTGTATCTTAAGGCTCAATTCTTATACCTCACTTCACATTTTCTTCACTGCGTTTTTCAAGCTTGGAAAATCACATAGGAGACTCTTGTACCCATAGCTTTATCCCTGACCTTGCTGATCTCTAGATTGAGGGTTCTGCTCCCACTTAAAAATTGCTATTTTAAAACAGCTCTTTTTTCCTTTCTCCTGATGACTTGCATTTCTGTCAGTGAAAGAGCCATCATTTTCTTTGCTTCTAAGGTCCTTAAAGAACATGGAGTCAGAATCAGATTTTCAGGTCAAGATGTTACTAACTTCAAGCTTTCATTCATCCCATCTCCACTCAACCTGACACATTTCACTCTTGAGCAAATCTAACCATAATAAAACATTTTATGGGATGCCTGGATGAGTCTCTGGTCACCCCTATCCAGCCCACTCCCACTCTTTCACGACCCTGGCACTGGAATCTGAGATTCCACATCTGCTGCCTTTACACGGCGTCTGCCTTTACACGGCGTGTGGTCCCCAGGACTGACCCTCTCCTGTCTTCTCTGTCAGTCTTTAGGTGAACAGTCCTCCAACCCTGGAACTGTGGACACCCTGCGGCATGGATAGTTGGTTCCATCAAGCACTGTAAACACCTCAATGAACACAAGGTGGCGCTAGAAGCACCCACGCTGCTGAAGCCCTGGGTGTGGCTCACTGCACAGGTAGCTGCTGATACTGGCTGGGGTGGGCAGCACTGTACCTTCGCTTGACAGATCCAGACATTGCAAATTTAAACAGAGTAAGTCATTAGTCCAAGGTCACACAACCAAGAAGTAGGAGAGCTAGAATTCTGCCTGAGAGTCTGACTTAGGGGTCAGTGATCTTTACTTGATTTCACTACACATGGGGGCTTCCGCAGGGCTTCCTCTCCCTGATCCCTTCCCATTTATTCACTTCAGGAAGCACCCCCTAATGAGGATTTCAGGATTAGCCCCACACTCCCAGGGGAGTTTCCAGACTACACCCTCCTGGCAGCCCCAAGGCTAGAGCAACCTGGCTGCCCCCCCTTGCTCACTGTGCCGCAGCCACACTTCCGTCCCTCAACACTCCCCCCCCCACCCGGGTTTCGTTGGTTGTTGTTGGGCCGGTTTTTTTTTTTGTTTGACTTTTTTTCATTCACCAGGCATCAGCTTCAACATTTCTCTAGTGAGATCGTTTTTGATAACTCCAGCCCCTCTGGCAAATCACGGTCTATCTTTTCTTTTTAGAATTTGCATACTATCAGAAATGACCTCGTTTATTGCCTACTACTGCGCAGAAGGGTTCCAGAAAAGCAGGGAGTTTCTTTTGTTCATTTATTGCTGTATCCCCAGTGCCTCTAAAAGACCTTGCTATAACATAGGCACAGAATAAAGATCTGTTAAATGGATTAAGCCCTGGGATCAACCTTGATTTTATTGCACTCAGAATCTTCTTACATAAACCAGCGTCCTTCCTAAAATACCAATTTTATTTTATCCTGTGTCCCTTGTTTTCCACAGAATAAATTAGTCAGGTGGGCGTCCACCTGTCCAGTCACAAAGTCAGCTGCTCTCACCTCAAAATTCCACACCGACCACCCCACTTACAGCCCACCACTTCTGGGGTGGTGGTGGCGGTGGGGAATGTCTTCTTCCTTTCCACTTATTTAAATATCAAGTTTCAAGACTGAGCTAACCTTGGAGTTAGACCCTCCCAACCAAGGGTAACTTTGTTACGCTTCTATAAGTATGTTTGAATTAGATTATTTATTCCCACTCTTTTAAAAATCCTCCTGTTAGTTCCCAGGGTGGGATTTGAGGGAAAGGAGTAAGATCAGGAAAGAAAGGGGGGGGGCCTATTGTGGCGAGTAGGTCTGAGGTTTGTTCCCACAGGGAACAGAGGGAAAAAGTTTTCTTACTTTTCTCTGTGATAGTCCCTAAGAAAATTGGAGAAAGAACACATTCACCCAAGTCTGCTCTTCTCAAGGTGAGCCAGTCGCAGTCCCTCCATTCCTTTTTAAAACGGAATGTCTGGAAACTTCCAGGTGAGCCAAAGCAGATTAGTTTGGGGTAGGAAAGGAGACTCCCTACTGGAATCTATAAAAAGATCCAGTCATTTTAACTTTTAGGAAGCCCTTCCAAAAAATGCTGACTCATTCTGAGTTTGCAATCAATTAAATGTCCTAATCAATTCAAGTTGACATATCAAACTTCCAATCGCATTTCCTATTGGTCCCTTCCTTATTAGCTTATTAGATCCTTTAGGATCTTGATCCATTTTGTTGTTCAGGATCTCAAAGTGATCTCAGCTTCTTTCATCATTCCTGAATTCATGAATGGTCATTCATATGTTAATTACATATTGGCAAGAATCAAGAGATGAGCCCTGTAGGGCACTGGAGATTTATGGAACAGAGCAGAATTTCAACATGAAAGTCTTCTCTAAAACAAACAAACAAACAAGCAAACAAACAAACAAACACTTTTCCTGCCCTCTTCCCACCTCTGATCAAGACTGCATGGCCCTCAGACACCAGCCTAGATGAACCCACCAGACACTGCAGTCTGAAGAAGAGGGGTAGCAAAGGACTCCCGCCCGTTTGGCTGTTTCTGTCTGGCTCTTTCCTAGAGCCCTCCAGCTCCATGGTAAGTCCTCTGCAGTTTAGGAGTGTAAAGTCACTCGCCTGCCTAGCAGCAGAGATACTACCACTTTTAGTCTTTAAACCACTTTTATTGGAGAAGTCAACAGACACAACCTATGGGTCTGCCCCCCACTAGTGCTACAGCACCTGATTTACAGCCTCACCCCCACCCACTTACACCAACCCCTCTGAGGTCAGGTTTCCATCCCTCAAATGCTGCTTTGGGGATCCCCTAACCTCAATCTTAGCGATTTCTCTCAGAACTCATTTGGTTGAACTGTATTCTTTTTGAAACTTTTTCTTTGGTTCCTGTGACTTCACGCTCTCCTGGCTCCCCCTCTCTTTTCTTGCCTAGTTATTCCGCCTCCTTTGAGAGTGGCTCTGTTCAGCTCTTAAGCCCCTATCTGTTTCTTCCGTAAGTGGTTTTCCTGGATGCCCTGGTCCACTCATCACTTCAATTGCCATTTTTACTCCACCTATGTGCCAATCGCGGTGGTCTCCTGACCCCCAGAAGCCATCCCTTCCCATCCACTCCCACCCAAACAACCTTGCAAATCAGAGCATACCATTAAGTCGATACAGCCACCAATGTCAATTCCCTCCTTGAAATTTTTCAACGGTTCCATTCCCACGCTCCTGTGATTGCACCAACCTAGTTGCTGTTTCTGGAAAGCTCTTTTAATAACACTATCCAATGAGCCTAGATGTTCTTACAAGTCTCCATAAAGCTCATCCCTAATCGTCTCTTTAGATTGTGCTTTAACGTTAGCCGTGTTTGCAGTCTGTCTTGACATTTAACCTGCATCAGATATCCTTTTCACAGACCAGTGCCATGCACCGCCATTTCTGATTTAATTATGTATCGCCTTTTTTGCCTCTATCCTTGGTGGGAATTCCCTAAGGACAGAAACTGTCCCTCTCCTCTACCACCAAGACCCACTCAACACAGAGGGCTCATAAAATAATTACTGAAAATATAATAAAATAAACAAGTGAAGAGCTGACCTAGGAGGTTTATGGGTCAAGAGTCAGGTCCCAGGCTCTTTGAAGAGTGGCTGTGGTCACTGGCCACTGACACTAGTGAGGTGTGCTTGTTGGACATAACCCTGAAGCAGTCTGTCCAAACTGAGCTGGCCTCTTAGTCTTTTCCCAGTAAATCCACGCCTCTCTTTGCAGTCTTTCCCATGCTAGCGTCATCTTTCCGGTCATCAGGCTCAGAACCACTCTGAGTATTTCCTTTCCTAATACGCCAACTTCTAAGCTCTGCTGATTTTATTTCCTCAGTCTTTTTATATCCTCTGTGCAGCCCCCAGCCCCCACTAGAACTGCAGAACATGCCTGGACTGGACGTTGCCCCATGGGCTGGGGACCTTCCAGTGTCGGCCGGGTGGCAGAGCCCACCACCGCGGAGACCATGCATATATCCTGCCATTCCCCAGCCTCTAGGTCCTTACCGTCAGCTCTAGCTCTTGCATCCCGCTGGGTATGGCTGTTGGCTGGGCTCCCTGGGAGAGCAGGCCCCGGATCCATCAGCTGGGCATGGTGTCCAGCAGCTCTGACGCCAGAAGGTGGCATCTCACTGGACTGGGGGCTCTGACAGACCTGGGTAGACCAGGACTCTGGGCCCACTAGGTCCATGCCTGGCCCCAGGGGCATGGGTGGTAGGCTATGGCTACAGCGAGTGCCCGCATCCAGCGTGCCCACCTTATCTTGCTGGGCTTCCTGGATGGGTGAGAACTCCTGGGACGAGTCCCCAACACTCACTCGAAGTGGGGGCGAGCCAGAGCCTGCAGCTTTCTTCCGGCCCTTGGCAAGCTCAGCAAAGGAGGTGACCCTCCTGGGTGGGGAGCTTGGCCCAGCCAGGGCTGCGGGGCCCTCACTCAGGCGCACTGGGCAACTCAACATGCGTTCCAGTGAGCCCAGGCGTGCTGGGGGGCTTCGCTCAAGGCTGCGGTCATAGCTTCGGGAACGCTGACGTCCGGTGCTAAGGTTGGGGGGTGAAGTATTAGTGTAGACTTGCCCCTCAATCACGGTAGGGCTCACAGGTACAGCTGCTTCCACTGAGGACCCCACTGCTTCTTGCTTCTCCGGCTGGACTTGTGGCTTCTGGAACAGGTAATACTCAGAGGGCTGGCCGGGCCCGGGGCCTGTGTCTGTACCAGGGCCTGTGTCTGCGCTGGGGCCTGGTGTGGGACTTAACTTGGTGTGTTCCTCAGAGCAGCTGGTGATGGAAGAGCCAGCTGGGCTCGGGGATGATTGGGAGGACAGGTCACAGGTGACAAGTTTATAGTAATTCTGTGTGGCCACAACAAGGCGGGCCTGGCTCTGGAAGCAGGCTGTGAGGTCAGCCACTGCCGGGCAGGGCTCACAGTGTGGGCGGTAGGAGTTGCAGTTGGCATCAAGCTCAGGAGATGAGGCATGAGGACAGCCATAGCCCCCTTCCCTTCCTCCACTGTCAGGGTGATGGGACTCACAAGACATCTTGGACTCGGTAGGGGAGGGCTGCAGGTCCAGGTAGAAGGCGCCGGGGTCTGAGTGGCTGCAGAAGGAAGAGTCGCTGCAAGACTGCGGGGCAGAGTTGAGATTGGCACGGGGATTGCCATGCATCTTGTTGTAGAGGGTGCTGAAGGTGACCAGCACACCGTCTGAGCTGTTGCAGGATGAGTCACTCACATAGCCCATGGACTGGTCAGCCGCTTCAGACTGGCTAGATGTGCTACTGCAGCGGCAGTGCTGGGGTCCCGAGCCTGAGCACCTGGGGTTCCTTGGGGACTCATCTGAGCTGAGCTTCCATTCCTGGTCAAAGGAAAAGCCAGAGGTATCACTGGCTCCACCCCCACTGCCGCTGCCCCCGGGACCCCCACACTCATCCAGCTCCATGGTCTCTGTTTCCGGCTCTGGCCGGCAACAGTGGCCGGTGCTGCATTGCTGGGCATCCAAGGTGGTCACCGGCTCCTGCTCCTGCCCCTCTACCACGCCAGCCCGGCAACGTGTCGCCCCCCACGGTCTGCCCACTCTGGGGCCAGGTGGTGGCAACTGGAAAGAGGAGAGATGGAAGGTGGGCTGGCCAGTTCCGTGCAGGTGGAAGGACTGCTGGGTGGCACTACTGCCAATGCTGTCGTCATATAGGTCACTGAGTCCTGGCTCAGCCACACCCTCCTGCAATAAGAAGGGATTATGTCGCTTAGGGGCCCCGGGGCCTCTTCCATCCCGACCCCTACTCTTGGTGCAGTCTGCAGACCGTGCAGATCCCCCGGGAGCAGAGTGAAGACTGCTGTACAGCAGGGAGTCGGCTTGTCCGAGGTCTTGATCAGCCTGGGCGATGCCCAGCTCGGGTGGGCAGAAGGGGTTGGGTCTTGTGCCCCCACCACTTCCACTTGCCCCCCCACAGCACTGCCTGTCTGGGACTTGACAGTGCACCAAGGGGATGTGGTGGACGATGAGGGTCTCTCCAGTCAGCTTTGGAGGACTATCCATTCTGGAAAGTTCGAACAAGGGCATCAACAGCACCAGACACTGCCCCCAGAGCCCAGTGGGGCAGAACACATTTCATCAGGAGAGCTTGGCACCTGGAGAGAGAGGGAAAGAAAGGGAACCTAATGTCACCTCCCTGGAAGTCAGGGACATGCCCTTCCCCGCATCATTTTCAGAATGGATGAGCCCAACAGGAGAAAAGACTTGCAGAATCAAGACAGAGCTCGACAGCACAGCTGCGGGGCGGGGGCTCTCCCGCCACCCGGCACTGTCCAGGCCCAGCTCTGAGCTTCCCCTTTCAAGTTCACCATGCAGCCGCTTGTGATGAGTGATCAGGCCATTTTCATGCCACACATGAAACTCTGGAACCTCGGGGCAGCACTTCCCCCTTCATTCTAAGGACCTTTCCTTGGAGGTAAACAAGGATTAATTCCGAGTACAAACAAAAGTATCGGAGAGAGGCACAAGTCAGAGGCGACTGTGTAGGGGGTCTGCAAGGGCACTAGGCACTGAGAGGACACAGACGCCTTAGACAAGTTTATCTCAAGGGGGACATCACGAATAATACATCATGTACACATAGCAGTAGGCTATAATTTTGCAAGAAAAGTATTTTAAAATCCACTATATCGTTTCCCGAGTGACTGTTACCTTGGGCCCTTGTTCCTTTGATGGCTGTGGGCTCAGAACCCTCAGGCTCCCCACTACTGTGCTGGAGCTTCTTGAAGCAGAGATGGAGTTGGGCATTAGGGAGCCCCTTCCTTCTCAGTGGAGGTGGGGTCTATTTTTTTTTATCTCATCTGTGTTCCTCTCATACAGCATCACATAAAGCCCAATAACAGGAGAGGTGTGATACAGTCTCAGTAACTCAGCTAGTCTTTTGTCTAGCTCAGGATACAGGTTTTCTGAAGTGCCCTAAATCTAACCAGTTTGATTGACAGCTTAGAACTTTAGGTACAGGTGGGGGTGTGTGGCACTCTAAGAAGCCCAACCTTCCTGGTTTTCCCTTTGATAGGCTCTCTCTTACTCAAGGCCACCTGGACCCAAGGACACAAGAGCCCATTCTGAGCTGCCCTGGCCTCTTGGCCAGACTGTGGCAGAACAAGCTCAAGAACTATTCCCCTGCGTTACAAAATTGGGTCCCAACAACCTGCTTTTAGAATCCTCATATCTAATTTCTTCTAATTCAGTCATTTCCTCCCGTCCACCCACTAGAGTCAAATCTCCCATCGCCTAAGTTCTCCACTATCTAGTTGAAACCCTTCAAGTGACCACGAAAAAAAATTATTTAAACCACAGGATCACAGCTTTTCACATGGAGTGCAGTCAAGAGCTGGTAAGTCATGCACACTCAAGGACATGAACAGACAGCACGTGAGAAGAAGCACTCGAATGGCTAATAAGTACATATGTGAGGGGCCAGCTCTTAAAATACTATATTAGAAAGGCTCCTTTGTTGCACGTGTAAGCTTTTGTGTGTGACTGGGGTAAAGAGAAGCTATGGAGAAAGCAGAAACTAGAATGGCTAACCGCAGCTACAAGATTAAGTTATAGAAGAAAACAGAAGAAAATCTACTAGCTGAGAGTCTCTTATATCTGATACCAAAAGCACGCATGACAAAAGAAGAAAGAGATAAGGTAGTCTTCATAAAAATTAAAAACCTGGGCCCTCCCTAGTGGTGCAGAGGGTTAAAGCAGTAGCACTGCAAAGCTGGCTGTGGCCGCTTTGGTGCAAGTTTGAGTCTCGCCCCAGAGGTGACCCACATAGCCTGGCAGACCTCTCCTCTCTTGACCAGCCCGCTGTTTCCCTCATCAGTGTACTTCGTCAGTCGGCCTGTTCTGCTCCCTACTCTGACTCTGGTGCATCCTCTCATGGCTCCTGCACCTCTGGCCTGTATGCCAGTTCTGTATGCATAAATAAATAAATAAACCTTAAAAAAGGGACAAAACTATTAAAAAAAAAATGGAAACCCTTGTACCCCAAAGGACACCCCCCTCCAATGGGAGAGAACACTTGCAAATCATGTACCTGTCAAGAGACTTTTGATCAGAATATATAAACAACTCAATAATAAAAAGATTAAATTAGGCCCTCCCTGGTGGCGCAAAGGGTTAAAGCACAGCCCTATGAAGCTATCCACAGCCACTGTAGCATGAGTTCGATCCCGACCAGGGGGGTGACCCACATGGCACGGCAGACCTCTTCTGCTTCACCCACTGCTCTCCTCAGCAGTGTATTTCAGTCAATTATCCTGTTCTGCTCTCCACTCTGTCTCTGGTAAGTTCTCTCATCCCCCTGCAACTCTGGCCTACACCCTAGCTCTTGTATGCATAAATAAATAAACCTTTAAAAAATACATTAAATTAGAAAATGGGCAAAAATCCTGAATAGACAGTTCTCCACCGAAGACATACAAATGACCAAGAAGCACGTGAAAAGATGCTCCACATCATTAGCTGTTGGAGAAATGAAAACCACAATGAGATTCCACTCCAACCCCACTTCAATGGCTAAGATGAAAAAGACAATATGAATGGTGGCGGTGGCAAGATGTGAGCAGTGGGAACCCTCCCACATTGCGGGGAGCATTATAAAATGGGGCAGTCACTTTGGAAAACAGTCTGGCAGTTCCTCAAAATGCTTAACACAGAGTTACCACATGGCCAGCAATTCTACTACTAGGTGTGTACTAAGAGTAGTGAAAACACATGTTCACACAAAAACTAGTGTGTAAATGTACAGATAGCACTGTCACAGCAGCTAAAATAGTGGGGATAATTCAAATGTCTGTCAGTAATGAAGGATAAACAAAATGTGCTATATAGAGAGCGTGGATCATTATTAAATAAAATATAATAAATAAAAGGAATGAAGCACTGTCACGTACCACAGCATGAATGGACCTCAAAAAAGCATGTAAAAGGAGCCATTCATAAAAGGCCTCATTGGAGGTGGTGTGTGGTCGCCTACTCATGAGATGCCAGAATAGGTGAATCCAGAGACAGAAGAGAGGTTAGACCAGGAGGCTGGGGGATGGGAGAGACTGCTAATGGGTGTGGAGGTTCTTTCTGGGGTGATGAACATTTTTTGAAATCACAGTGCTGATGGGTACACAAATCTGTGAACGAAATCAAGACGACAGGATTTTATGGTATGTGAGTTATGCCTTAACAAACCAGCTGATTACAACGTTTTTTAAACAGAAAACAAAAAGACGAAGCTGTATAGAAGGGTGAAGGAGAGGTCAGGAGTGGGGGACTGGACATAGGCAGAGACAAGGCTGAGAGTGAGAAAAGAGAGGAACACATGCCGTTAAGGATCGGGTTTTGAAGAGAGCTAGAGGATTTTTTTTTTTTAAAGATTTATTTATTTGTACATACAGAACTGGGGTACAGGCCAGAAGCTCAGGGGCGGCGAGAGGCTTCACCAGAGACAGAGTGGGGAACAGAACAGGCAGATCGACGAAGTACACTGCTGAGGGGAGCAGCGGGCGGGTCAGGAGAGGTCTGCCACGCCATGTGGTCACCTCCAGGGCAGGCGGGAATCGAACTCATGCGGAAGCGGTTTTAGATTCTCAGTGCTGTGCTTTAACCCGCTGCGCCACCAGGGAGGGCCAAGAGCTAGAGGATTTTGAGATGCTTTGCTGAAGGTAATGAAATAATTTCCCGGGTGTGCCCCCCACCACAACCTCTTCATTTCTTTCACCAAGACAGCTTTGGGTTCAAATATATATGCCACAAAAATAACAGAAGGTTGGAATTTACTAAAATTAATAATCTATAATTAAAAATATGGGAGAATCATTAAAATGATGTGTTGACTTGGAAAAACATTCACAAAGTCTTAGTGTACATAAGATTACAAAGAAATGGACCGTAGACACTGTCTTTTTATAAGAACATAATGTATGTATCTGGCTAAATCTGTTCAGGTTGCCATAACAAGATACTTCCAACTGAGTGATGTAGAAATAGCAGAAATTTATTTATTTATCTCAGTTCTGGAAAGTCAGAGATTAAATGGTAACACGGCTGCATTCTGGTGAAACCTCTTCCTGGTTCACTGTTGGTGCCTTCGAGCTGTGGCCTCACTGAACCCTGGTTTATAAGAGCATTAGCCCCATTCTGAGGGCACTGCCCTCACCACTAATCACTTCCCATCTCTTACTATCATTGTCTTTGAGGGTTAGGATTTAAACATTTGAATGGGGGTGAGGGTGGGTGAAGAGTGGGGTGGGCGGTAGAATGAGGTGGGGGCAACATGCTCGGAAGAAAAAAATTAAAAAAAAAAATTATTTATTGGACCCTCCCTGGTGGCACATCAAGTTAAAGCGCAGCACTGTGAATCTAGCCACAGCACTTCAGCACTAGTTTGATCCCTGGCTGAGTCCTGTATATATAGATTCAAAAAAAAAATCTTAAAAAATTATTTATTTATTTTTGCTTAGAAGAACCAGAGTGTTGGCCAGAGGGGTGTGTGTGTGTGTGTGTGTGTGTGTGTGTGTGTGTGTGTGTGTGTGTGTGGCGGAGGGAGTGGGAGCGAGATGATTCACCAGAGACAGAGAGAGGAGCAGTGGGTGAGACAGGAGAGGTCAGCTGTGCCAAGTGGATCAGCTCCCTGGCTGGGCATGGGGATTGAACTCAGGCCTTGGTAGTAATAGTGTGGAGACTTAACTCCTAGGCCACCAGACAAGCCCAGAGGAAAATTTGAAAGCACATATAACAAAATTTTAACAGTGTTACTTAACTCTGTTGAGAAGTTTTGGGTTATTTTTAATTAGATAATTTTAAATTTAACTTTTGACCTTTTATCTGTATTTTCTAACTTTATAATAAATGTCCATAATTTAATTTTTTTTTCTTTAAATGCCATGAGCACGGTAGGTTCAGGAGGGAGCTTCTGCCTACGCACAGTACTGGATTTCCCCCGGGTCCACCACAAAGAGGCCTGGACATATAGCACAAAGATTAGAGCATCAATGGGCTACAGCCGTCACTCATGTCCAGTGGCTATTCCTGCCTGCACTTAAAGCACCGTTTTCCAGATGTAGTCACAGTATATACCACACACATTTATAATTCTGATCCACAAAACCATTGCTGGGTGATATGTGCACTCATATGGAAAGACACTGACAGGAGTCTAGAAAGCAGAACCTCTGAGCCAGGGGCTGAGGACATGGGGGTGATGAGGGAAACTTTTTGCCAGTTATATTATGTTGTGATGTTTATACATCTGCCACCCCCCCCAACCTCCCCCCCCAGACTAGAGAGGCTCCTTGAGTTCAGAAACAGTGACCTCATCTCTGAGACCCAGGGACCTCCACATAGTGCTCGGGGCTAAGTAACTGGCAGGGGCCCAGTTACTTGCTGACTCCTACCTCACCCACTTGAAAAACCAACTTGCCTGTCTTTTTATTATTGAGTTGTGGCTATTAAAAATTCATTCTGGGCCTCCCTGGTGGCGCAGCGGGTTAAAGCACAGCACTAAGAAGCTAAAGCCACTTCCCAGTGAGTTTGATCCCTGCCCACCCCGGAGGTGACCCACATGGTGTGGCAGACCTCTCCTGACCCACCCGCTGCTCCCCTCAGCAGTGTACTTCATCAATCTGCCTTCTCTGTTCCCCACTGCTCATGCCTCTCACCACCCCTGCACCTCTGGCCTGTACCCCAGTTCTTTATGCATACATAAATAATTCTTCAAAAAAAATTCATTCTGGAAAAAGGGGAGCACTTTGTCACATAAAAGTCTTGAGAATATTTTCTCTCAAACTATGGTTTGCTCATTTGTTTTCTTAGTGTTTGTTTTTTTTTTTTTCGTTTAAAGATTTATTTACGCATACAGAACTGGGGTACTGGCCAGAGGTGCAGGGGTGGTGAGAATTCACCAGAGACAGAGTGGGGAGCAGAACAGGCAGATGTACTGAAATACACCGCTGAGGGGAGCAGTAGGAGAGACAAGAGAGGTCTGCTGCGCCATGGGGGTCAGCTCCTGTTTGGGGAGTCAACTCATGCTGCAGTGGCTGTGGATAGCTTCATATTTCTGTGCCACCAGTGAGATCCTGATTTCTTTTTTTTTAATGCTTAAAGCTTTCTGTGTCCTGTCAAAATATTTATCCCAAGATCATGAAGACATTTTCCAATTTTCTTTTCTAAAAGCTGTATAGTCCTAGCCTGTACATTTAGGTTGTATCAAATTCCCTTTTAGGTTTACAGTTTTTTTTTTTTACTGGTTGATTTAATTTTATCTCATAGTTTTGTATTTCAGAAAAGGTCTTACTCTTTTCTGATTTCTAATTAGCGTAAGAAAATGCCTGCCAAAATTCAGCCAACAGTAGGGAAACTTTGCAGGCAACTTGTGAGATATGGTCTTCAATCTCTGCCCACAACACGTGCGTATTTTTCACAAAGCACTTTTTAATGTATGTTATCCTTTCTTTCTTTTTTTTTTTAAAGATTTATTTATTTGTGCATACAGAACTGGGGTACAGGCCAGAGGCTCAGGGGCGGTGAGAGGCTTCACCAGAGACAGAGTGGGGAACAGAACAGGCAGATCAACGAAGTACAGGCGGGAATTGAACTCATGTGGAAGCGGCTTTAGATTCTCAGTGCTGTGCTTTAACATGCTGCGCCACCAGGGAGGGCCTGTATGTTATTATTTCTTAGTGATCCTTAACAACCACTCTTCATGGTAGGCAGAGTCCTTTACATTTAATAAAATATGTAAATGAACACCCAGAAAAATAAAGTGACTTGCCCAAGATCACTTAATGAATAAATGACAGAATTAAGACTGGAGGAAGGGCTCAAACATTTGCTCTCTCTTGTCAGTTAAGAATGAAGTGAGATGATGAACTTCATGTAATATAAATGTACGGATTTTTAATGATGCACACCTAAAACTTATAAGGCAAAATTACTCAAAAAGAATGTACACAGCCTATGTGACTCAATTTCAAACACTACACAGCTCATTTATTGAGAGCACATCTCCCGGGCTTCCTTCCTGGGGGTAACTTGTTCTACATCAAGTTAATACTGTGCTCCATGAGCTTTAATAAGAGAAAACAATGAGGTGGGAGAGCTCATCCCAGACTTTTTGTGCCCTGATTAAATGGAGAAACATGGGAGAAGACGGGGAAGGAATAGAGAATGTGGAATAGCAAGAGTGAAGGAAAGCTCTGTCAGAAGATGGCCAGATGGCCCCCTACAAGCTCCGCCTTTTAGGTAAATACAGCACAAAGCGTGGACGTGCAGCTCTCCAGAACAGGAGAAGTTCAGCTGAGATCCCTTCCCCTGGCCCTCAGGGGAAGTGCCTTTGGTCTATCATAGCAACACTGTTAGTGATCACCTATCAAACACTTACAGGTAACTTACACACATTATCTCAATTTCACTATAACTCTTTAAAAATCAGGCATAGCCATCCCCATTGTCTGGGTGAGAAAACCTAACCCAAGCTAAAGAGTAGTCAGTGACACACAGAGTCATACATGATGATACAGCTGAGATGGGATCCCAGGTTCTTAGTTCTCTCACCACCACCACCCTTCCTAAAGAAAATGATCAGGGCCACACCCTCTTCCTAAAGTCCCAGCATCACCCTGCTGCCCTGCAGCTGTTTCCTGCCTCTCCAGGACCTCCCGCCTCAGAGCCTCCATTTGCAGTTTGTATCTACCAACTACCTACTTCTCCATTCCCGGACTTCTCCATTCCCTCTCATAATGCTGCCCCACGCTTCCTCAGTCTTCAGTCCCACCCCTGCCCTGCTCGGCCTGTCCTCTCCCTGTCCCAGCACTCCTTGCCCTGCTCCGTGGCTCACATTCCTAGATGCTTCGTGGGAACTGACACCCTCCCACAACTTCCCAGCATACTCCCAGGCATGTCTGCACACTGTCAAACTACTGACTCCTGTTAGCCTATGTTTTTGAATTTTCTACTAAGGTGATCGATGGGAACTTAAGGCCCTCTTTCTAGCTGCTCTGCGGAGGAAAATGTTCTAGACATTAGAAGAAAGATTCTTCTGGTCCCCAGCATCTTCCTGCCAACTGCAGACCCCTTTCCCTCATTGCTGGAGTCTCTGGAAGGCTGATGGGGAAGACAGTCGGGATTCCTTAGCAATCTGACCTTGACCTGAGGCCCTGATGAGGTGCCTCAGTGGAAGGGACAACCCTTTCCCTCTGGGTCCTTTCCTGGGAGGGGCTGAAGGAGGAGAGCAGGAAGATGCTTTTGGGAGTATCAGCTTATGCTGAGGTACCTTCCTGCTGGGGATCAGTCTGTGTAAGGTGTAGAAGGCATTACAGTGACTGCCCCCGCCCACAACCCCACAAACACAGTGGAGCCTCTTGGTCAACATTCTCTCTCATTCACCCTCACCCGGGCAGCAGGGGAGACCCTGGCGGCTGTGTGTGCATGTGTGCCTGTGCCTGGAAGGAAAGGACGGCTTACTGCTTCCCAGCCCTCCTCCTGAAGCTTCATGATCCCTCATGTTCTCCATCATAAACTCACAGTGGCTTTAGAGGGTGTCTCCTCCCATGAAGCCTTTGTTTCTAGATATGATCGCCACTCTGACCCACCCTGTGGCATCCTCATTAGAAATACCCAGGAAAGAAAGGATATTATTATCTGCTTTTAGACAAAACAGCACTAGCCCAGCTCTGCTGTTCCCCAGCTCTGCACCACAGCCTCAGTGTATGGCTGGAGGAGCCTGTGTAATGTTCGCTCTCGGGCTCGCTGTCACACTCCCTTCTCTTTCTCCAGCGCAAAGACAAAGCCAGCCGCCCAAGCCAGGGCCCAAACGAGCTGACGGGCTACCCCCGGCGGCTCTGCCCTGCCCCTCCCCCCCGCGCGGCTGAGCCATACCTCAGTCGGGAGCCTGGCGCTGTACCCCGAGGCTTCTGTTCCTTTTGCACTCCAACCAAGCTCTACCTTGCCAGCTGCAGCCGAGGCACGGGCCCACAGGACCACACAGGGGCCACGGGGCCGATTTCCTGGGTCTGATTTCTGCTAATACAATGGCATCGTTGCTAATGCAGGGAGGCTGCGCAATCCCAGCCCCAGTATCCTTGCTGCTGCCACCGCCGCTGGTGCTGCGGTGACGTTGCTGCTAGGAGAAGGGGGAAGGGAAGGAGCAGGCTTGCCCACAGCGCAGCGCCGGGCTCCCGCCCTGTCAGTCCCCGCGGGCCCTTTGGCATCGGGGAGGAGGAGGGGGCGGGGGCGAGCGGAGTCAGCCTCGAGGGCAGCGGGTGCTAGGCCTAGGAGGAATATCCGAGGCAGTCAGCGAGGGAAACGCGGAGCGCGAGGCCGGGCTCCCCTCTCGTCCTCAGACTCTCAGGGAAAAAGTCCGGGCAGAGGCTTTAAAGCTTCCTTCCTTCCTCCCTCAGGCCCCTCCTTTTAGATCTTGGCCAGAAACCTCTCCCTCCTCTTTTGCCCACAGTGAATGACTCCTTGTTTTCTAGTTTTTTCCCTTCACCAGGATTCCTGACTAGCCTCAGGGTGGGGCAGCTAGCCTGGGGTGGAGGGGTGTCCTGAAGCCCTGAAGGGAGGCTGCAGAGACTGCTTGCTCATCATTCCACCAGCAGCAATCCCAAGTCGGCCCTTGGGGATCCCAGTTACACAACACTGGGTATGAGTCTCCAGAGAAAAGGGGTCTGTCTCAGAAAAAAAGAAAAAAAAAAGGACTGGCCCTTGGGCAGGCTTCTGCGTGCAGGGGAGGCAGTGGGTCTGGGGACCATGCTGGCTGCGGGTTCTCTTCCTAACACAGGGTCCAGTTCAGTTCCCCGATCCCAGTTCCGGGCCTGCTGGTGGGGCTGGTGCAGAGCCAGGCCCGCTCACCTCAGCAGTGTGACTAAGTGATGACCAGAGTAGAGCGGGGTATCTGGGGAGGCAAAATCGTTTAGCCAGGCCAAGGGGTCAAGTCTATCTTCTAGGGAAAGGAAGGCTAAGGAAAGGACCTCCCTTAGGCCAGAGAAAGCCCTTAGTGCTGGCAGAGCCTTGGGGAGCCCTCTGCCCCTCCCCTGCTCCACCCAGCTCAGGTTCTGGGTCATTTCTGTGCACACTGATCACCAGTGGAGAAACCACGGGCACAGGCAGCTGTACGTAGGAGCACTGTTTCTGTCTGCTTCCTGCCACGGCTGCTATGCCACACTGGGACAGAGTTGGCCTCAAGATGCGCATGACTCCCAAGCATTAGCCCTGCCTGGGGTTCTTCCTGGAGATGACTACTCTCCCAACACCACAACCAAGCTAGGGGTTTCAGGTCCCTGCAAAGAGGCCTTAGATTGAAGGGCCAGGAGCATAGCAGTCACCTCTCAGGAGCCTGAAGAGTTGTAGCTTTTCCCTTTTCTTGTTTCTCCTATTCGCTGTGAGGCTCGTGTGCCCACTGACCACATGCTGAGATGCAGTGAAAGGTAGAGAGACCTTCCAAAATTCATCTCCAACCTTGACTTGAGGGGCCATGGTCCCTTTGCTCCTAAAAAAGCAGGGAATAAGGCTTCCCGGTGGCAGAAGGGGTTGAGTCTCAGCGTTATCAAGCTACGGCCAGCCACTGCAGCATGGGTTCGATTCCCCGCCAGGGAGCTGTCCATGTGGCCAGGCGGACCTCTCCTGTGTCACCTGCTGCTTCCCACAGCAGTGTATTTTAGTGGATTCACCTGTTCTGCTCCCTGATATTCTGCTCCCTGGTCTCTGATGAAACCCTCTCACCTTCCACACCTCTAGCCTACACTCCAGTTCTTGTATGCATAAATAAAATAAAAAATATATCTTTTTTTTTTAAAAGCAAGGAAACAATGTTAAAGGGAAAGGGGGGTTGCTGTTCACAAAACTAACAAACCACCAGGATGTTGAGAGGAGCGGTAAAGGTGTCATTGTTCTCCCCTCCCCCTCGCTGATGCAGGCCTGTGGGGGTTAGGGGGTGCATGAGCAGCTGTAGGTCAGGGCAAAGTGATGACCATGACCAAGTATTTGGAGTTCTAACTTCTTTTTGTAAGAACATTGGTGTAGGGTCTGGTCTGTCCCTGGAATTTCTGAGACTAAGCCATGCACTGCATTGGGGAGTCTCTACCGAGGAAATGTTTCCAGCTGCCTGTAGAAGGTAGAAGCTGTCATATTTTCAGTGCTTGACTTGCTTCACCACATGACCGACTTCATCACCCTTTACTTGCTACCCAATACTGCCAAAGATTTATAGGACTTTTGATGAGAGATACATTATTTTCTGACCAGAGACAAAATACAAACACTACCACATTATAAATCACAACTATCTCCTAACTAGTCTCCTCATGTGCAGTTTACCTTCTAGTACTCCCAGATTCACTCTCCAAAGCACCATCTGTCTTCCATATGTCATTCCTGCCACTCTTCCTGTCTGATGTCTGATGTTTTTCCATCATCCAGAAAGCCAAGTTCAAACCCTTCCTTGCTTCCATATGATCCAGCAATTCCACTCCTACATATCTACTCAAAGGACACAAAAACATTAATTCAAAGTACACTTGAACCCCTATGTCTACCGCAGCACTATTTACAATAGGTAAGCTATGGAAACAACGCAAATACCCAAAAATAGATGACTGGATCAAGAACACAATGGACTATTACTCAGCAAACAAAAAAGATAAACTAAACTCATGCCATTTGCAGCAACAGGGATGGAACTCGAAGGGACTATGCTCAATGAAATAAGCCAGAAAGAAAAAGAAAAAATTTTGGTTGGGTTTCATGTATAGGAAGAATGCAGAGGAACCAAATAAAGAATCAGGGAAAAGTAATTATAATAAAGTAATAATAAAAACCAACAGGCAACTATAAATCAGAGACATCCTGCAAGACAGACGGAGGGAATAGGGTCAACAAAGAGGAGGGAAAAGGTAAGGGACTGTGGTGCTGGTGCACAGTTGAATTGGTGATGGGAATTTTGGTGGGAATTTTACACCTGAGAGGAGGAAGTGAACAATGATGCAAAAAGTATATAAAATAAAATCAGCCAACCAGACAAATAAAAAACCCTTCCTTTTGGTTCTCAAGGTCCATCTTCTTGGCTGTCCATCCCCTTTCTATTCAGCCCAACTTCCCACAACCCATCCTGGAGTCCTTCAATCCTGTTTCACAACCTCATTTGTACTTTACTGCCTTTGTTCATTCAGATTCTCCTGTCTATTATACCCCACTATACTCAGAATTATCCAAACCCCACAAGTCCCAGATCAGCAACTCCCCCAAGCCTTTGGGTTGATCTGATCCATTCAGAGCCAGAGTGGTTCCTCTGTTTCATGAAACCCTGGTAGCATGTTTTTATTTTTTTATTTTACAGACACACAAAGAAAATTCCCACACAAAAAATCAGAGGGTCAAAATAGGATTGCCAACCTCTTACTGTTAACAAAAATAAGAAAGCTTTCCATCTGCTATCATCACCATTCATAAAAGAAAGTATACTGTTATTACTCTTGTTATTTCACTGCACACTGATAGAAACTTCACCAGGAACCAGCATCTGTTCATGAGAAGTTCTGAATAAGTTAGTTGATATGGTTATTATTCTGACCTGTATATCTGTCTTAATATTGTTATCTCTTTAGTCCAAGTTATATTCATTTCTTTATGCCCAATACCCAGCAAATAAGACACGATCATTTTTATTCTGTTTCCCATAAAACTTAGCACAGTATTTGGCATATATTGTAGAAAGTAAGTCAAAATCTTGTTGATTAAGAGCAGTCTAAAAAAGAGATGTTCTTGAGTGTGAGAGTGACTGATGGGCAGATTTGACTCAAATGAAGAAAAGACCATGGGTATTCTTAGGGAAGAAGGAATGGTGAGGGATGGAGGGGGGCAGGAGAAAGGTCTATTAAAAAGGAAGCTTAGGGACAAAAAGTTATGGTTCTTCATGATCTTGAGTTAGTCAAGACATTCTTAGACATGATATTAAAAGTAAAGTGACAGGGCCCTCCCTGGTGGTGCAACGGTTTAAAACACAGCACTATGAAGCTGTTCACAACCACTGCAGCACAAGTTTGATCCCCGGCCAGAGAGCTGACCCACATGGCGAGGCAGACCTCTCCTGACCTGCCTGCTCCTCCCCTCAGTGGTGTATTTCATCAATATGCCTGTTCTGCTCCCCACTCTGTCTCTGGCGAATCCTCTCACTGCCCCTGTACCTCTTGCCTGTACCCCAGTTCTGTATGCACAAATAAATAAATATTAAAAAAAAAAAGTAAAGT